AGTGTGTATGTAGCATAAAACAAACACCTAAATATTCCCGTGCCCTTCCACACACAGGTTGTGAGTATAACATGTCATTTTCATGTATTCACTGGCATACGCCATATAGACACTTTCAAGAGCTCGAAGGGCAGTTTGGCACCCGGTTCCTTTGGATATCAATGGGGCACCTCATTCCTATGTGAGCCTTTGAAAATAACCTCACTTTGCATAATCTGAGGCAAAATTATAAACAGCCAAGAACTAGGCAGGCCATTCATCCCATTTTAAACCGGACAGTCCCCTCTCTACTTGTTTTATTATCCATCTGTGTGTAGTTTTGTCCTGTATCGACTGGGGACCATTTTACAGATTACACCGATCTGCCACCACCACCAAGCCATTCCTGGAAATATTGGAATGTCTGGTATTTTGAGAATGCAAGAAAGGCCACCCGACCCTAGACCTGGAAACTTGACCCAAATCTAAATGGTGCATCTGGCCCTTATTTGCAAACAAGCTGGGCTAAAAAAAAATAAAGAGAGAGAAAAAAACCCAGTTACAAACCCCTAGAAATGGCGGGTAGAATCCAGATGCAAAGCTGCATCCAAATTTTGGCTCTCTCCTCCATTTCTAGCATTTTCCCTCAATCCAAGTTGTTTGTTCATCGATTCCAAGGCCAGAAGAGACCATTGTGATCATCTAGTCCTACCTTCTGTATAACACAAACTATTGAGCTTCCCCAAAAGAACTCCTGGAGCAGATCTTTTCCAAAAACATCCAATCTTGCAACCAAAATGGTCAGTGATGTCGAATCCGCCACAACCTCTGGAAAAATTATTCCAAGGTGTTCACTGAAGTTCACAGCTCTGGGTATGATGGGATAGACAACTTGAAAGACCTTTCCCTGCCAAATCATTCTCCCCAAGCACAGGGTACATGCACAGCAAAGCAGGTTTCCGAAAGTATGTGAACTGGGGATGTTCAGGATGAAGTCTCTAGGGTTGCCTTAATTATATGTCCAGGCAAAATGCTCACAATTGTAATGATGAGATGTGTAAAATGAGATGTGTAAAATGAAGCACATAAATGGCTAAAAGTATAGAAGATTTGCCCAGAGTCACGTATTCTAATCTTTAATCCCCTTCCCTAACCATTAGACACATGCAGTGCACCTTGGCAGGGGCTTAAAGCTGCGGTCCCTTCTAATCATATGGTTCTATGATTTCCAGTTTTCCATTGTAAAGAGTGTGTATTCAGTGTCCCAGATCCTATTTACTTTCTCTTTTTTTCAGCATGCAGTGAATGCTGGAGGAGAACCACATCAGAAAATAGACTGGCAGACAGTTTGTGCACTGAAACTCTGTAATATTTGCGAGTTAGTTTTCCCCAGCTCTTGAACGCTGCTAGAAATACTTGTAATATATTTGTGTAGGAAACCTCAGGTAGTATTTTAAATTGATAGGAACAAACCTTGTGGGAACTGGGAAGCTCCTCAGAGTCAGTCACAATACACTTTTTTTAAATCAGTTGCTGCAACATTAATTGTTGGCTGATTATATTTTCTAGTGTCCTGTTCTGTTCTCTTTGCTGGAGGCTCTCCAGAAAGATGCCACGTTCATTATCTCTGGAAGAGTGAATTTCCAGGTCACTGATGTTACGGCTAAGCCAATATTTTTGGAAAACGGCATGATCTCTTGGCCTGTTAATTAAACTAACAATCTGAAAGAGAACTGGCACAATACAGTGACGAAACTCAAGTGCAGCATAATAATGGGAATGAATGAGACTTGTTTTCACCAGTAATTAACAATCTGAACAGTAAAACAAACAAGTTGATGTTTCTCTTGGTCACTGAGGAATGGAGACAGAGAAGTGGCCAGCATTTGCTATTTTGTGAGGGCTATGGCTAAGAGGAATATGTTGGCAGTAAGACAGTGGGTTAAAGTGGTAGATTTGGGACACTGTGTAATTACAGCTAGTGCCTGAGACTGCAGAAGAGGAATATACAATATTATCACTGTCACATAATAACAGGCCATAACAGTCATTATATGGGCAACTCCAGCCAACCAAAGCAAGACAGCTCAGAAATGAGGCAGTTGCTCCAGTCTCAGTTAATCCCCCAGGGAATCTCTTAATAGAGAATAGGTCATGAAGCAAACACTGGATAAAAAGCTGAGACGACCCCAAGCTGCAAACTGTGTCAGTCTGAGGAAGAAGCACTGTCAGAAACTTCCATCCCACAATAGGGAGATTACTGAGACAGATATGGTAATTTCCTGGACTACGTTTTAGTTTAGTTGGGACTGGTCCTGCCTAGAGCAGGAGGCTGGACTTGATGCCCTTCTGAGGTATCTTCCAGCTCTATGGTTCTATGATACGTTTGGATTATGTGGCTATGCTAAATTTATGTATTATGATGGGCCAGAGATTGCATGTAGTTCCCTATGAGAGGGTGACAGCAGCCCCTCTAGGAACTAAGAACAGTGTGTGTAGTGGGGGATAGGCAAATTTGCTCTGATGGGAACATCCTCAAAGAGGTACTACCTCCTGGGGAGGGCTTGCATATTGTGGTTAAGTGACTCTCCAGAGACCAACAAAGAAAGGACATTTGAATAAACAGGCTGAGTTAGTTTAAATTCAGAGCTTTCTTTCTGATTCAACAAACAGACAAGACCTTTTGTCCAATGGAGGTCCCAATCCTTAAGAAAGGTTGGAAGAATTTTGGCCTACAGAGACCCCATTAGGCTGATGGGTGGCCTCTGGTAAGATTTTAGTATACAGCTAGGAACTTATATATGATTTTCTCATAAATGCTTTTACCTCCAGAATAAATATGATTGCTTAGAAAGAGCTCAATGGTAACTTATACCATCTGCCAATTCCACTGTTCATAGACCTCAGAAAGAAAGAAAAGTACAGACACCGGTCTGTTTAGGCAGTCTGGCTTGTCGGAGATCTCTCAGTGTAGGCAGGGAAGTCTGCAAACTGGAAAAACTTCAGTCAAAAGAGTGAGAGAGGTTTCCACCCAAGACTGGAGACAGTTAAGGAGTCAGTAGCCAAGAATAAGTGCCCTTTGTTGGCCACAAGGAGGAAATACAGGGGCAATTGTCCTGAACTATGAGAACTAGGAGTACAAATTGTTCAGGCCCCAAAGGTCAAACTTGTTCAAGGGCAAAGTTACAAACTGCCACAACGGGACATTTCCTTTGAATCCTCTTGAAGCTAAATCATGTGAGGTTATTATATTGTGACACATACCCCACAGCATCATCAGACAAGGGTCACAACATCTCACCTGCTGCAGAAAGGCTAGGATGTGTCAGCTACTAATAAGAGGGAGAAACAATAACAGGAAACTTGGAAATGGCAGAGGTGCTTAACAACTTCTTTGATTCCGTCTTCACCAAGAAGTTTGATGATGAAGGGATACCTAACAAAGTGAATGCTGGTGGAAATGGGGGAGGTTTAGAAGATAAAATATAAAAAGAACAAGTTAAAAATTACTTAGAAAAATTAAATGCCTTGAAGTAACCGGGGCCTGAAGAAATGCATCCTAAAATATTCAAGGAGCTGATAGAGGAGGTATCTGCGCCTTTAGCTATCATCTTTGGAAAATCATGGAAGTTGGGAGAGGTCCCAGAAGACTGGAAAAGGGCAAATCTAGTGCCCATCTATAAAAAGAAAAATAAGAACAACCCAGGAAACTACGGACCAGTCAGTTTAACTTCTGTGCCAGGGAAGATAATGCAGCAAGTAATTAAGGAATTCATCTGCAAACACCTGGAAGATAATAAGGTGATAGGTAAGAGCCAGCATGGATTTGTAAAGAACAAATCATGTCAAACCAATCTGATAGCTTTCTTTGATAGGATAACAAGCCTTGTGGATAAGGGAGAAGCCATGGATGTGGTATACCTAGACTTTAGTAAGGCATTTGACACAGTCTCGCATGACCTTTTTATCAATAAGCTAGAGAAATACAACTTAGATGGGGTTAGTATAAGGTGGATGTATAACTGCATAACCATTCTCCAGGAGTAGTTGTTAATGGTTCACAGTCATGCTGGAAGGGCATAACAAGTAGGGATCTGCAGGGGTCTGTCTAGTTGATGACATAGAGCGTACGCTTATTAAGTCTGCAGATGATACCAAGCTGGGAAGGGTTGCAACTGCTTTGGAGGATAGGGTCATAATTCAAAATGATCTGGACAAACTAGAAAAATGGTCTGAGGTAAATAGGATGAAGTTTAATAAGGAGAAATGCAAAGTGCTCCACTTTGGAAGGAACAATCAGTTTCATACATACAGAATGGGAAGTGACTGTCTAGGATGGAGTACTGTAGAAAGGAATCTAGGGGTCATGGTGGACCACAAGCTAAATATGAATCAACAGTGTGACACTGTTTCGGAAAAAGCAGATATGATTCTGAGATGCATTAACAGGAGTGTTGTGAGAAAGACACAAGAAGTCACTCTTCTACTCTATTCTGCACTAATTAGGCCTCAGTTGGAGTATCGTATCCACTTCTGGGCACCACATTTCAAGCAAGATGTGGAGAAATTGGAGAAGGTACAGAGAAGAGCAACAAAAATTATTAAAGGCCTAGAAAACATGAGCTCTGAGGGAAGGCTGAAGGAATTGGGCTTGCTTAATTTGGAAAAGAGAAGACTGAAAAGAGACATGATAGCTGCTTTCAGGTATCTAAAGGGGTGTTACAGGGAGGAGGGGGAAAATTATTCTCCTTGGCCTCTGGTGATAGGACAAGAAGCAATGGGCTTAAACTGCAGCAAGGGAGTTTAGGTTGGACATTAAGAAAAACTTCCTAGCTGTCAGGGTAGTTGAACACTGGAATAAATTGCCTGGGAGGGGTTGTGGAATCTCCATCACTAGAGATATTTAGGAGCTGGTTAGACAGACACCTGTCAGGGATGATCTAGATCAGTGTTTCTTAAACCTTTTAAGACTGAGGAACACCAAACAATAATTTTTTTTATGAGGAACACCAAAATTTTTTGTTGAGCTGAGGGAAGAGGGGGGGAAAGATTGTTTGCCCCTTTAAGGGTGGCCATTTTGAACTCTGTTGTTCTCCGCGGCACACCTCTGACTGACACTGGTGTGCCATGAAACACAGTTTAAGAAACACTGATCTAGATGGTGCTTGGTCCTGCCGTGAGGGCAGGGGACTGGACTTGATGACCTCATGAGTTCCCTTCCAGTTCTAGAATTCTATGATTCTATGATATTTCAGGATGTTTTCTTGGGTGGTTCAGATCAGCCATCAGATGAGCCGACAGACTCGCAGGGCCCTGGACAAGGGAGGCAGCTTTGTGCTCCCATGGGGCAGGGCCTACGGCATAAAGGGCAGAGCTGAGGCAGCCCCCTCAGTGCTATCCAAAGTGTGCCTGCCATGGCTCTGTAGCATGCTGCATGGGGGCTCCAGCAGCAATATAAAGGTCCCAGGGCTCTAGCCATCACCACTACTGCAGTCGCAGTGGCCTTTAAACCACCAGTTGCTCCTTTTGCCCCCGCCATTCTCATAGGATGCAGCCAGGCCTGTCCTGGGAAAGTGACAAAGGGTGGCCAGGCAGCCCTTGGCTAGGGGAATAAGAGGAACAGAAGGAGTCTTGGATTGTCCTGCCAATGGGTTTTCTTTCTCTGAGCGGGGGAAGAGGGATACTGGGCAGAAAAGGTGGACAGCAACCCTCCAAACATCCTGAGTGGAACGTTCTAAGCACCATGATTGTTTCCACTTACCAAGGGCTAAAACCATGAGTGCTGCTGGGACACCAAAAGCCAAGGCATAGCAATCCCCTCCGAAACACTTCACATCCCCTAAAAAAAACCAACAGAATAAAAGCATCTCATTTCGCCGTGTTTACATGCAAGCCAGGCTCCCACCCTGTGCCCCCCATGGCAACCTGTGCCAAAGCAGTCACCTCTCTCCGCCCGCCACTCTTGCAGCGGGTTTTGACCTTGCACACCACGCCCATTTCAAACAAGCACCCTGGGGCTCCGCTGCATGGGGCAGGAGATGTTACCACTTACAGGCATGGGTAGCTGCAGGGTAAGTGGAAGCAGGGGAACAGCCCCCTGAATGGGTTAAAAAAAAAAAAAGCCCTACATAAAAGAACCTGTCTCTTTAAAATTTATTTTAATAGGCCTGGGTGATCCTTAACAGGGGTTCTGCACTATCTGGGGGCATCTTATCTCACTTCCATCACTATAATCAGGTAAGTGAGAGTGAAACTATGGGATTACACCAGGGTGTATGAATCACAGAATCTGAACCTAAGATTTCAGGTGTGTGAACCAATGCCCTGTGTATCCTGTTGACTTATGTCTCCCCTGGCCCTGCAGAAATAGCCTGCCCCACACCCTATTCCTGTGATAACTCATGATGAAAGTAGCACTGTGAGAATGTTGGAGCAGTTCAAGCTACAGTATAGCCTGGGAATGTAGCACACAGTTGCACCATAACCCAGAAGAGCTCTGTTGCTGTGGGTTCATGGAGAGCCAGTCCCCAAACAGAGATCCAGTAGCATGGTCAGAAACTACTGCATTCATACACTAGTGAGTAGCTGTAAATAAATGTGGTTTTAAAAGCACCCATAGCTAAAGCAAAAAAGGAAACTGTTCAGCAAAAACTTTGGTGATTACTTTGCATTAGTCATATGCAACAACGTGGTCAGTTTCATCAGGGGGGTGGGAGGTGATATTTATCTGGCCACTTTCCAAAGAATTCACTGAAATCCAATAAACCAAACTGTGAAACATTACATGTCCATTTAACTTGTGACCTATAGTATGGACAGAAAGTGTTGGGCTCTGTCATCTAAATCCACATGCTCCATGTGAAGCTGTCAAGTTTCAGGGGAATTGCTTCTCTGTCTCTCCTCTGAGAAGCACAGAAAATAATTTTAAAACCTAAATCTCCCTTTCCACTCTCCCTCTTCAGGGTGGTGGGGTTATTGGCTGAGTGTTGTGCTACATTGACATAGAATCAAAAGCTTTAAGGGAACCGGATTTTCATCCACCCATCAAACAAATTCAGCAACAGCCTCTCAGCATCGAAATGTTGACATGGGCAAAAGAGAGAGAGAGACGTAGGTTTTTGGTTGTTGTTTTTTTGTTGTTGTTGTGTGCTTTGGCACAAATACAGTGGACAGAGATACACGTCCCAAACCCCAGGAAAGAGGCAAAATATTAAAATAGTCATTCCGAATAAAGAAACCCTTATGGAGGATGTCAGCAAAAATGCTCTTGGACATGCCAGGTACCTCAGTGGATGGGATACTGCCCTCTCCTGTGTATGTTTGAGTATTTATAGAGCGAGGTGCTGAGCACTGAAATACAATAAAGTCAGTATGGCAAGACTCAGGATAAAATGGTTCTGAACTGTGGGTGGGATGCAAAATAGGCCATAAGAGAGGGATAGGCAATATGTGGGGCCTCAAGATAAGCCGCTCTAGTCCATGATCTTGCCACCTGATCCACACAGGTTGACCCTTATGCCTGTCTGGAGTTCAACAAGCAAACAGGGCTCTGCATGAGAGGAGGGATCAGTTTGCAGAACTGGAACCCTGAGCAGCACTACTAGCATAGCCCAGAACTGACGTGTACAAGGAATAGGGTCAAATCATTCTCAATAAATTACCTATGGACTGCAGCATAGACCCGAGGAACAATCCCCTGCTGGCTTGGGGAATGACCTGATGGGTCTTCTCCATCTCTAATATTTGATCCAGGGACTCGGGCTGGCTTTAAACCAAATAAATAAAGCCTGCAGCATGGTATGTCTGACTCTTCTGCTAGTTTCCATAAATCTGTAATGCAGCTATACAGGATTAACAAGGCATAAATACAACATACAGGTCACTCAGAAGATAATATAATCTCTGACATTTGATCCTCATGAGAATCTAAGCATCCATAGCAGAACAGTCCACAATGCGGCTAATTTAGTGATTCATTCTCAATCAACACTGACCTCTCAATACAGGAGTAACAAACGTGGAGATCAAACTTCCCGCATTAATAGATAGATAGAAGACGGAAAAGAATTTGCTCCTTTCTTGGGCCTAAAACAAGACAAGGCAACGTCAATACCATGGACAAAGCACAGGGCTGGACAAAAAACTATCAATTCTCTTGTTAGATGGGCTGGGTTAATATTGACACATGGTGCGTAAAATGCAAGCTAATGGCAGGAAAAACCAGCTTGCATTGAGGTTCTGGCTTAGGCTCACACAAATCAGTTCACTTCGGGTGTGTTGGCATTTTGGAAGCTCTGTGTCTGTCAGGAGCAGGAAGTTGGAGGGGGAAAGTGTTTACTTATTCAGAACAAGTAGCTTGATTCAGATTCGCTGTCACCTAATTCAATCCAATTTGGCAGCGCTTGACAGCTCGTCATTTGTTCCCACGTCCTGGCCTTTTTTTTTTTCTAAACAGAAACAGAAACCTATGCATTTTGAGGAGCTTGTAATGACAGAGGAGCGAGAGCGTGTGAGGGAGACTGATCGGCTGGGAGTCCTGGGAGGAGAAGCTAAGAATTACGGAACTAAGCGTGGTGATGATTTAACCAGCCCCAAACAAATAGGGTCCATTCAGCACAGCACATCTGCTGGGGTAATTAAGCAGGCCTCAGGACGAATGGGGCTGGGCATAGGACCCCAGTGAGAGTCAGCACTGCCATATTTGCTCTATTAATAAACATGGTAAAAAGGACTCTACTAAATCCATTCGTCTTTCCAGTCATTTAGGGCAATGCACCCTGTGTGTGATTCATGAGTTAGCCATGGGAAGGACCGAGTATTTGCATGCTCATTTTGACATGCTTAGTCCAGGGAACCTGTTGCTAAGAGTGGGCCCTCCAGTTCTCACACTTGCTGGCCATGCTAGCTTTTGCCATATGTCCAGTGGGACGCACAGATGATAGAGGGTGAAGTCAGCCCACCGAAATCGCATTTGCCCTGTGTGTGTGTAATCTCCCTCCCCCAGTTTGCCCACCCCCTATACACAGTGATAGGAGACAAATAGGATTTCCCCTCTCGCTCATTCACACACATAACAGAGAGGTATTTCTGCCTCTGTAAAAGTCAAACTCCAGTCATGACGTTGAGGGCTGCCTTCGGAGCTGCTGAATTCCTCACCTGCAGGGTGAGATCCCTTCAAACAGCAGGGCTCGGTCGGTGCCTTAGCTTGGTTCACGGCATGGATCAAAAGCTTTTCTAGCTGCTTGCTAATCAGAAAGTAGTACCAGAACCCACAGAATTTTTCACCATGTAGCTGGAAAGACATCTGGGCTCTGGAGCTGGTTGGCATTTTCTCCTCGGGGTCTTCACAAATGCAGTTGTGAATGAGCTCTCTTCAAGGCCCAGCAGAGGACAAAGATGTGCTCAGAGGGGGACATTTTCCAAGGCGTCCATGTTATTTGACTCTCAAGGGAGTGTATGTCACATAGTCAGCAAGAGGCCAGGATGTCCGGAAAGGCACAATTTGAAGGAACTGATCACTGCCAAGCACTAACATTTTCCTTTATGAGAAATGCTTCTAAACTGTGGTGCCTTAGGCAGCTTTTTCCTTACTCAGGCACAGCAGTGTGAACTACAAAGTCCACTAGGAGCTAGGCTGTCCTAGTGAAAGGGTGGGTGGCCTTGTGATTCAGCACTGGAAGGGAGCTTGGCTCTGTCAGGGACTCTCTGCATGACTGGACACAAGTCACTTGGGGCTTGATCCTCCATTGTGTACCCAGATCCCCATGGGAGTTAAGTGCTGAAATATATTTAAAGATCTGGGCCTGAGTTCCTGACAGATGGATGGTTGCAGCCCCTGCCTGGCCCCAGAGTAACAAAACTAAAGGGGGTGGATTTAACTCACGCTCTTCTGCCAGTGGAGAATGAGCAGTAGGAAATCTTCCTTTGCCTCACCCTCTCTCCACCTCAACACCTCACCCCCGTTCTTGGTCCTTCGATGCAGCAGAAAACTGCTGTGGTTCGGCTGTAGGAGGTGGGGATGGGACAGGACTGGGGGAGCTCGCACAAAGGGGGGTCCTTATGCACTCATGCAAAGTGGGTGCAGGGGGAAGACAGCAGGATGGGGCACAGGGAACTGTCAGGGTGAAATGATACCACACAATCGGCTGCTATGGGGCTCATGCAGTAACTGCAGTCAGTGCGGGGAAGGTTCTTTGCTCTCTGGCCTCTGCAGGGAAGTGAAGAAAGTGACGAGCCCTTCACCGTCCTCCTGGATTTGGCCCCTACAGAAGGTTTAGGCCTTGTGAGCACCGGACAATCTAGCCTGCATGGTATTAGCGCGTGAATGGTTTTATCTAGGATTAAGGCCCTATCAGGCCCGCCAAAATGGGGGGTAAAAAGGGCCTGGCGATTCAAAGGGGCCTGGGTAGCCTGGCTGTTGCTGTGGCAACGGTGGCAGCCGGAGCCCGGGTCCCTTTAAATCGCCATCAGAGTGCCACCCTACACGCTCCAAACGGCTCTGAGGGCTGGCTCTGGGCACCATAGAGGGCTGTCTGCTCTTGGCTCTGCCCCTTCTATCAGAGACCTTTCTGCTTCCGGGACCGTGGAACTGGGCCCCCACACGCCTGCCTCAGGGGCCCAGTTGGCTCAAGAGCTGTTGGCTCCCCTGGGACCAATGAACCTTTATTCAGCTAATAACTGCGTAGTTCACTTCTTTGGTTAATGGTAAACAGTGCTGGGGCTATTAAATGCATATCTCTGTTTTTATCTGAAGCTATCTATTTCAGTTAGCTAATAATCTTCAATGCTAGTCTATATAGTTAAGATATTACATTTTCTTAGTCATTACCCGGCACTGATCCACCTCAACAGCAGGCTACATTTACAGTGGGATAAAGATGGGGTGGATGATTATTCTTCTGCCCTGTTCAGTTCTATCTACAGTCTCATACCACACCTCTAACCCATGGCATTGGAATATCTCTGCATTTTTTACTAACTTACCAGGATTCAAATCTATGACCTTTGACATCATAAAACTGCTGAACTATGGAGCCCTCTGGATGAGAGTTTTAGTCTGGTCTCCTTTCACTCCCCAGTCTGCAAAGGGTAGCTGAAAAGGAACAGCTAAAGAAAGCACCCTACTGGTTTTGAACACACAATATTTCACTGAATAGACTGGTGCCACGGGTAAATTAAGGGAATTGAGAGCACTGGTGGCAGTGACGGCTTAGGCTTTGAAAGAAAAGCTAAGAGCACTTTTAACAAATATAAATAACACTCACTACAGTGCGGGCTGGTTTCTGTGAGAGAAACTCTGTGAAATCAGTAAGGCATTTTGAGACCTACCCATCAGATAGGGATTGTGTTTCTTGCACATAGTATTGCAAACAGATTGGGTTTTGTAAGAACATGATTATTTTACCAGCACTTTTATATTTTTTAAGAGACTGGTGATTTGTAAAGAATTTTGGTCACCTCATTTCACACATTTACAGATTTCAACAGCATCAAAAAATGCTGTGAATGCCAGACGTGTGAACATAAAAATAACCTAACCGTTTTTAAATTGCATTCATTAGAAAAAGATATCTCTCCTTCCTTTCTTAAGCTTTGCAGCACACATATGCTCATATCATTATTTGTATTAGCTAATTTTGAAAAAAAAGGTGCCATTCATGATCCTCCTGATCTCCCTAGCAACACGAAAATAAAGAAACAAAGATAAATGGGTTTCAGTATATGCACATTGTTTGACACCAAAGATTTTGCATTTAAACAAAATCTTGCCAATATGATTTTGTTCAGCTAGATTTAGCCTGAGCAACCAATTCTAATGACAAAAATACTCAAAAAGGTAATTTCCTGCACATAAATCCTTTTTTTGAGAGGACAGGGGATTCCGTGTTTTATCTCCACTCTGACCAATGGCCTCTCTCACTGTTCATGGACCTGAAGTATGGCAGGTCGAAGGACAATTATATTTATAAAGTTGTTTGGAAAAAAGCCAAGAGTTCAGGATTAGGGATTAAATTCAGGCTTGGTGTAAGTGGTTGACATCAGTGCAGTTGTGCCCATGTGCCATTGAATTTGTTTCTAGCCAATAAACTTTTCAATGTCCCACGTAATTAATGGAAAGTTATTTATCAGTATTCTGGCTATGTGGCCTCTGCAGATACTCACTGGGATATGTAGGGTTCCACACAGGCAGTTTTATATATGTCGAAATATTATTTCCATTTTGCATATAGTGGTCCTAAGCACTTGCTGTAGATCTCGTGGGAATTAGATTTTTCATTTGGCAGGAAATTTCATTATTTTAAAATTTCTTCCATTCCAAAATGGGAGGCGGAACCTGAATTTCCCACAAAATGGAATTTAGGGAGGAGAGGAATCAGCACATTCCATTCTCACAAAACCAGAAAGTTTTGTACTTTTTAAAACTTTTTTGGAGCCTCATGGAAGTTGTAGTCTAGGTGACTCGTGCCCTTGTTCTCCTCTCTGGGCTGGGCTCCCTGCCTGGACTACATATCCCATGATGCTCTGGTCTCACTTCTGGCTGAGCCATTTTGGTACATCATGAGAGTGCCCTGATTGTGATGCATCATGGGAGGTGCAATCTGCGTAGAGAGCCCAGCTCACAGAGGAGAATGGAGGCATGAAACACCTAGATTACAGCATTCATGAGGTACTACAATAGCTACGCTAAAATGAAACATTGTGTTGTTTCCAAATTGAAATTTTTCAGAACTTTCTTTTCTGTGAAAAAATTACATATTTTGACTTTTTTAGGTTCTAAAACAAATGATGAGATATTGGAATGACTCGCGGGGCATAAATTCTGATTTCCAATCAACTCTAACAAACAAGGAAGGGTGGAAGAATTCTATGAACACCTAAGATCTTCAATCAGTGTTGTTGGTGATGTGGTAGGTAGTATACTCCTCCCTGGTTCTGCGTGAATCAGTGCTACTAGGGAGCATAAAGCCAATAACCTTTGAAACTAACATGCTCATTACTTATAGTCACGAAAGAGGCAATTTCACACATATAGAGGTGACAGATTTAGTGCATTCCCGCTCAGGAAATAATCTATTTCATTCTCCCGTGTCCCAGTTTTAACAGACATATAATTTTTATCTTTATGTGCTTCCCCCAAATAATTATTTTGTGCTGCTACGTGTTAGTGACAGTTACTGAGTTGGCTGTCCAAGCTGTTGGGAGGGGCCATTAATAAATGTTTGTGAGACACTTTGAGAGCTAAGATGGAACTTTGACGTACTATCATCTCTCTTTCTCAGGGCAGAGCATCCTTTCATTTGGCTGTAGCTTGATCACATGTCCTATCCCTCCCCATACATTAACACCACAGACACTGCATAGTTTAGAAAATAAAATCTTACATGTTCTTCTTCAAACTGGTCCCCACCAAAGGCAGCCACACAGGGTTTGATACCTCCTGTTCCAAGGGCAATCAAAGCCAGGCCAAACATGGACAGAATCCTTCAAACAGGGATGAAAAACTTCAGCAGCACAGAACCCTTTTAGGAAACAGTAAATCACGCTAGCTACATCTCAGACTCAATGTGCCACAAATCTGAACCTGGACTGTGAGTGAAGAGCAAGCTGAGATGGGCTAGTAATAGGAACAAAATAATTATCCTCAATCACAGCCCAAACCATCAGCCAACCCATAAACCAGACCATTGCTTTTGGCGTGTTGGATAAATGCAATGAATGTGGTTGTTTTCTTGCATTCCTGAGTATCAACCACGCATGAAAGTGGAAGTGTGGAGATGGATGAGAAAATCTGTTTCTGAGCCAGCTGGAAGCAGGAAGAGATCAGGAGTGGGTGTTTCTTATAAGATCTGCATCCCAGATTTGCAGACCAAAAAGCGGTATGGGATCATCATCACTTTTGGGTGCCCTCTGGACCCAAACTCCTACCCTAGTGAAATCCATCCACTTCTAACTACAATCATGTGGTGGCCTCACAAAAGGTACGTCTAGACTACAGGCTTTTGTCGAAAGAGGTTTTGTCGACAGATACTGTCGACAAAGCTGCTGTTGACAAAGAGCATCTAGACTACATCCAGTTCTGTCGACAAAGGAAGCCGCTTTGTGGACATGAGAGTGTAGATGCAAAGGACAGTGTAGATGCAATAACGCCGTCTGTCGACAGAACTCTGTCGACAAAATGCGTTATTCCTCGTAGACTGAGGTTTACCGCCATCGACAAAACTGCCGAGTTCTGTCGACGTTATGTCGACAGAACTCGGCGGTAGTGTAGACACAGGTATAGTTTTGTCGACAAAAGTGGACTTTTGTCGACAAAACCCTGTAGTCTAGACACACCCAAAATGCTTCCCAACTAGCATGAAAATGTCCCAGGTTGGACGGGCTCAGGGAACTTAAGAACGCACCTAGTGAATGGGATTGTTTGGCCTGGCTGTAGCCCATTTTCTCAGCTGTGCTCAGCTTATCAAAAATACTGGCAGTTTGTCAGACAGTTGGGGAATTGTATTGGGGAGAAGACGAACTGATGCTCTGGAGCAGCAGTTCCCAACCTTTTCCAGATGGGGATCCATTTTGACGATTCAGGAAGACGTGGTGACCCAGGGCAATTAAAAAAATGTGTGAATGGCTCCTTAAGAGCCACATGAGGAGACACCTGGTGACCCTTTTGAAATGTAATGGTGACCCATATTTGGGATCCTGACCCATAGGTTGGGAAACTGTGCTCTGGAGGGAAGGAAGGGAGATGCATGAAGAACAGATTCTATGTGGTCCTGCCAGTCTGTTTTGGACATGTGCTCTAACTGGAGATTTCATGTTCCTCTGACAGACACATGTTTCCCCCTAAATTTCACACACATCATTGTGCCTGAATTTTTCTTAGACGGTCTCAAGACTGGCCATTATTTCTAGAGCAAGTTACCTGCTTGGTTTATGATTAGGAAGCTGCATAAACTGCAGGATGAAGATGAATTAAAGCATCTGGTGCAAATCCCAAAAGCTGATAGCCTGACAAAGGGAAGACACCATTGGAGAGGCCTATTTGGGTGAATAACTAAATGAATAACTATAATAATGTATCTAAACACCAGGTCCAAGACTTACTTACACATGAACCATCTGGTTTCCCACAGTTGGTATTGCACCGACAGACTTTATCACATGGCCAATCACATAAACAATGGAGAGGTAGATGATGGTCCTAAGAAGAAAGAAAACAGTAGAAGCTGAATATACTTGCGTGATATGTGTCCATTTCTTGATACCAGTGGGAATGTCAAGCAATCCCAGTGTAACTGGCCAGTCCATAGAGCTGGCCTCTGCAAAGCCTGTAACTCTTGTCTCAGCACTGAAAGTATCATAGGAAAGAAACAGAGTCAGATGGTGGGGTTAAAATGAACAGAAAGGGACAGATATTGGTTTGTGAAGATTCAGGTCTCCAGGTGGAATTAACTAACCTTGTTCCTGTTCAAAATGCTATTTGAGGTGGCTATCCTGGTCATATGTAGTTGATTAAAACCACGGGCATTCTCCGGCCTGCCTGTCAAATGAATGCAGACTTTGGAGGCTGTATATGTAGACGGTATGTCCATGTACTCTAAAGAGTTTCTGTGTTTCAGGCGGATGTATTTAAAGCCAGCATTGACAGATGCCGTGGTTAGGATGACACAATGGGCAGCGGATGCTCTAGAAGACAACTTGTGATCCAGTGGCCACAGAAGAAGTTGGGAACCAGCGCAGCCTGGAACGAGTTCCAATCCCAAATGACTCAGCTAATTCATAGAACGTAAGAATTGCCAGTCAGGAACAGACTCCGTCTTGTCCAGCAGTCTGTCTTCATCAGTGGCCAGCACCTGCTACTTCAGAGAAAGAAACCCTGCAGCAGGCAGCTGGGGCATAAGGTGCCCCTTAGGGAAAGTCTCCTCTGAGCTCCTAATATGTAAGAGCTTGAGGACTTCTATCTATCAGATCACAGACACCCTTGCATATCAGTGAACTCAGCCGTTACACTTGGCTAACCAAGCTGCAAAATAAAACCTTCAGTGTGAATGGAGGTTTTGAATGGACCAGGGAGTTTTGGAAGCTGGATTTAAGCATTATGGAAGAGGATGTTGGCAGCCTGTTAGGAATATGCTAGCCCAGAGTGGGGCAAACTGCTGCTCTCGGGCCCCATCCAGCCTGCCAGACCCTTCTGTCCAGTCTCCAACTCCCAATCGGGGATGCTAACCCCAGGGATGCTAATCCCTGGCCCCTCTCCTTCTGTTCCTCTTCCCCCACAGCCTTGGCTCCCCAACACCAGGACTGCATGGCTGGTGCTCTGGGTGATGCGTCCAGGTGGTACAGTCAGGGGGCAGGGAGCAGAATGGTCCTGGGGGGTGGTCAGGGTTGGGGAGCAGGGAAGGTTGGATGGAGCAGGAGTTCCAGGGGACAGTCAGGGGAGTTGGATAGGGGCAGAGGATACAGATGGGAACGGGCGCTGGGCCATGCCTATCTGTTTGGGGAGGCACAGCCTCCCCTACCTGGTCCTCTATACAATTTCTGAACCCTGCTGTGGCCCTCAGGCCAAAAAAAATTGCCCACCCCTGTGCTAGTAGGAAGAGGGATCCACACCCATTTTTTCTTGTTTGGACCTTTTTTTCGAGGACACTGGAAGTCCATGCTCCATTCTGGAAAGAAGGGAGAACTTTGTGTTGTTTTGGAGAAGACAACACAGTCTAGACATTGGAACACAGGCCTGGGAAGCCCTCACCTTGGGCAACTCACACGTTAATCGCCTGGATTCCTCAACAGTAAACTGGCGAGAGTGATGCTTGCCTGTCTCAGAGGGGACTGACGAGGTTTAATTTATTAATCATTGTAAATAATGTATCGAGCCTTCGATGGAAGAGAAATGCAGAGTGTTATGAAAAGTAGCGTTCCAGCATCTCTCTCTCTCGGCTTCTACCTTGAGCCTCACAGGGTCCCAGTGAATCTTATGTCTCAACACCACTGGAGTGTGCCACCCCGATATACGCATCACAACTCCCTGTGTGCGGGTGCAGAAGTGTTTATTTTATGGTGACCCTGAAAACAATAGCTTTTAATAAGCAGATCTGCTGTCCACTCATTATAGGGGTGTGTGCGCGCGAATGGCTGTTAGTATATTTAAACTAAAGAGATTTCCTTCCTTACTTGAATTTTCCCAGCCATGTGTCGGCGATGAGCGCTCCGATGACAGGCGTGAAATAACACAGCCCCGAAAAGGCATGGTAGACAGTGGTGGACAGGTTCTCATCCCAGTGAAGGAAATTGAGAAAATACAACGTCAGCACAGCTTGAAAATAAGGGGAAAAAATGAAACCGGTCAGATAATCCACACACGCCCAGGCAGGTGAACAAGGTGGCAGGGCCACATTATGACTTTTGTGGGCCCTAGGCACTTTTGCCTTTGTGGGCCCTTTCCTCCATAAAAAAAAGTATTAAAACTTATTTTTGATATAACTTTAAATACTTCAACATTTTATTTTTTTTCTGTTTTAGGCAAAATTTAATAGATTTTCGTGGGCCCTAAAAGTTTCATTTTTTTCTGATGTGAGAAAAAAATTAAAACATTTTCTTCGACCCTAAAAGTTCATTTTTTTTCCTTCTGATTTTAAAAGAAATTAAAACATTTTTGTGGGCCCCAGGTACTGTGCCTAATGGATAAGTCAGCCCTGCAAGGTGGCTCATAATCAATGGAGATTGCCTAGTTCCTAGAACTGGAAGGGACCTTGAAAGGTCATCAAGTCCAGTCCCCTACCTTCACAGCAGGACCAAATTTTTGCCCCAAATGGTCTCTGCAAGGATTAAACTCACAACCCTGGGTTTAGCAGGCCAATGCTCAAACCACTGAGCTATACTTCCCCAGCTGATCCTGGACTCTGTGCAGCATGCAGACTTTGAAAGGCCAGACTCCATGGCTTTGAAATGCATATGAACCTGCGCTGAGGACTCTTGTACTTTTCAAAGCAGGTACACCCAAGTGCAGCCCGGAGTCAGTGGGACTTCCCGCTGGCCCCGGGCTGGACGCGGAGTTCCGCATTCCTTCTTTGAAATGTACAAGAGCCTTTGTACATTTCAAAGAAGGAATGTGGAAGTGCCTATCAACTAGTCGAGTAGTCGATGGAAATTCCATCGACTACTCAACTAGTCAATTAACCACAATTTAACACCCTTACCATGGACACTTGCCCTGAGAAACAGTGGTCTACAACAGCTCCGTACTGACAAGTGGACAGTGAGATGACGTAATGGGCTTGTTTTCTTTTATAACATTGCACTTCAGTTCAGCTGGGGCTTGGTTTTGTACTGGGACAGGATCTGGATGTCTGCCACCTGAGAATATTTGGTAAGGGTGACATTCACTCCTTGTGTGTAAGGCTGAGCCAAGGATTGCCGTCCTGACTGATGTGCAAGATCAGATTCAAGGGAGACCCCGGCAGGGCTACGGGATTTGCATTTATGCAGATCCAGCTGCTTAGAAATCTGCATAGATATGCGGAAGAGAAGCAGCTTCACTAGCCTGAGGGCAGGAACAGTGGCTGAGAAGGATTGTGCTGCACCCGCTAAGTAAAGGTGACCCGTGGAGGCGGTATTTGGATCAGATTTAGATGGGGGCTCATTTTGATGCCATCTCAAGGATTAAAATTTGCATTAGAATTCATTATTGTCCACAAATCTGCAAATCCCAGTTTGGCATCTGATCTGAAACCAAACTTGTAGTTGCAAATGTGGATCTGTGGTTTCAAATCTGACTCTCCCACTGCTTGAAATTGGGAGGGGTTCAGACTGGCTTTTTCTGGTTTCAGGCCCCCTTTACTTGTTAGTGTACTGGTGTCCAAAGTGCAGAAAGGGTCAGATTTTTCAACCAGGACAATCCTCGCCTCTGAATTCGCACAAGCCAGTTTTGGGCAAGCATGTCCTTGCCCATATAGTTGATCACGTTGCTCATGTAAATGCATGTGAGCCCCCGTCTAAATGGAAATCACACACAAACCAGAGTCCATGGACAAAATTAGAAATTACTGGGAAACCTGGCACATTTGATTTAAGTTAGTTAAACTGTCAATTTGAACCACTCTGAGTCAACATATAGTACAGCAAGGGAAGTATCTGTGAGAACAACAGACCAGGGTGTGAGGGGCCGTGTCAAGAAAAGTAAAGCAGGGTTATTAGATACACTTTGTACCTTTCATGCCATAGTAGGAGAAGCGCTCACAGAACTCGTTCACCACAATGAAGGCAATGCTGAGTGGGTAGTTGGTGCCACATAGTTTCTATGGGAAACAAACAGGAACAAGCTGGCTTGGTGCAAAGCACTGGACTCAGCGACATCATCCCATCAGCCATGTGCCACTGATGTTGGAGATGCAGCCAGGCCGAACCCACACAGGTAAACACCCTGAATTCCAAGGAGTTCAAAGCCCACATCTTGCCTTGCAGTGCTGGCACCCTGGTGAAAGTCAGGCCCTGATGATGGGGTGCTCCCTGCAAGCTGTAGTTACTGCTGCAGTCAAGGCTCTCCAGGGTGGATCACCTGCTCCTCCCTCAGGCTACGTCTACACTACGTCTAAGTCTACAATTTGCATAGCTTTTTCCGAAAAAAACACTATAATGTAGACAAATTCCACCAACTGCAGCCTGGACTTCCTTCAGCTCTCTCACTCCCATGGCTACTCCTCCTTCAAAGGGCAGGAGCCAGAGTTCATCTGCTACTCCTTCGAGGGCTGGGCTTCCCTCCAGGGGTCCCCTCCCCTTCCCTTCCCACAGGTTAGCCCCTTCTGCATATTCACACCCCAGAGTATAAAGTCTGCCTTTCTCCAACAAGCTATTTATAATCAATAAAAAGCAGAGAAAGTGAAGTATGGAATTCTTTTTTTTTTTTTTTTTGCATATAGAAATAAATTATATTACATGAACGTTTCTGCCCACCCAAAAATTTGATTCCTGATTTTCATAGTCTTGTGCTACTAGCATGCAGGAAATTTAAAAAGTTGCAAATTTAGGGCCCAATTTGACAGACACTTACTGCCATTAGTGTACGTCTCGTTCACACTAGTCAAGGTTTGGTTTTTTTTTTGGAAAAATTGCTGGTTTTCTGAAAAAACTTCACTTACGTCCACATTGCAATTGCGTTCTTTTGAAATAAAATCAAAAGAAGAGAGGGGTTTTTCTCACTTTGGTAAACCTCTTTCTATGAAGAAGAAGCCTTTTTCCGAAAGAGTTCTTTTGGAAAAAGGTGTGTGTGTAGATGGGGAAGAGGGAGTTCTTTCACAAGAAGAGGAAAGAGAAAAATGCACATGTGCCCTGGTGGCCATTCCGCCCATAGTAATCACAGCTTACATGTGAGATAGCATCCAGAATCCATTCAGTATGGACACTCTCTTTCGGAAGAAGTTTTTTCGGAAGATCTCTTCCAGAAAAGCTTCTTTCGACAGAAGCCTGCAGTCAAGACATAGCCTCACAGAGTTTTTCAAGTAACTGACTTTTTTTCTCTCTGGCCATTTGAAAAAGTCTGGGTGGTGGTGATGGGTTGCTTCGGGTCCACCAGAAACAAAAAGTTTTTGACCAAACATAAAATCATTTTGGGACACGTACTATTTTGTTTCACTTGCAGCAAAACACAGGATTTTTTGATTTTCTAAGTTTTTTAATAAAATTGAAGTAAATTTCAAAATGAACAGTCATTGTGAAATCAAAAGAAATCAAAATGCTTTTGTTTCAAAACAAAACATTTCTAATGAAACAAAACATTTTGATTTTTAAGGAAAAACAATCTTGTCTTCCAATCAAAACAATGGCAGATTCAGCACAAATTTGTAAAATGTTTTGCTGAAACAAAATGTTTCAGTGAAAAATAGTTTCATCTGATAAACTTTACCCAGCAGTAACCGCTAATGCTGCATGTAGCAATTGTCTGTTTAGCTTTGGCCTCAGCATCATGATATGGGAATATTGTAAAGCGAGGAACGAATTAAGTGGCACCTTCCCAAACTGATGTTGCATCAGCATGTGTGTCATCTAGGAAGCAGGAGGAGGCAGCATAATTCAGAGAAATAAACAAACACAGTGAAGAAATCCTCAGTTGTCCCCGCTCTGTCAGGGACTTGCTTTGTAACCCTGGGGCCTTTCAAACATGGCTATTTAAAATGAGACCCCTAAATCCATATTTAGGGGCAGTTTCAGCCATGCTTACTGACACTGAGAAGTAGCACTTTATTCCGCATTGTAATCAATGATTCTTCTCTTGGAGTAGTTCACTGCTCCAAGCATACAGAAGTGGAAGAATCTGTTACCTAGATGTGGGCATGACTTGTAGAAGTGTTGGACACTCACAGATTCCAAGGAAGTTGACTGTCATCACCTTTGAAACTCAGGCCATGTATGACACTGTCTGTAAACTGATTTAGGGCACAGATCCTCCAAAGTATCTTAAGGTACCCAACTCCCATTGACTTAAGAAGTAAAAGCAAATGTTCCCATTTGCAAGCACAAAATTTTAGCCATTTTTATGGTTCCCAGATGCCAGGTCCAGAAAAAGTAAAGTTTAGGCTCAGTGGACAAAAACCATAGGTCTCATTCGCATGATGAGAACTAACCTGCACACATGTCAAAGCTGAGAAAATGAGTCGCTAGATCTGGCTGAAAATTTGAACCAGAGTCTCTTGCTCTGGAGAGGGAGCACTGGAATGTGAGGTGCTGGCTATCACATCTGTTTTACCACTGAGCAGCATCTGGAAATAGCCTCTATAATGACTTTACAATACATTGTGCAAAT